ATCCCATCCCATCCCATATACCATCCCATCCCATCCCATCCCATCCCATCCCATCCCATCCCATCCCATCTCATCGCATCTCATGCCATCCCATGCCATCGCATGACTTGCCATGCTATGCCATCCCATCCCATCGCACCGCATCCCATCGCACCGCATCCCATCGCACCGCATCCCGTCCCATCTTATCCCATGTCATGCCATGCCATGCCATGCCATCCCATGGCATCGCATGCCATCCCATCCCATCCCATCCCATCCTAAACAGTAAAAAATAATAAGAAATCAAACGATAAAAGACATTAAATATAAGAAATTAAAATTAAAAAGTAAGAAATTAAAAATAATACATACTAAAGAGGTAGGTGAAGGGGAAAAAATGAAAAAAGGGGAAAATAAGTTCCCCAGCTGGGGCTCGAACCCGGAATCCCGGTGTAGGAGACGGATGTTCTAGCGATTAGGCCACTGCGTCATTAAAGTTAAACCCATGGATTCACACGTACGTGATGTTAATCTGTACGTACCGCCATAGAATTTTTATGAATTTTATTTTTATGAATTTTTATAGAATTTTTATGAATTTTTAACTTTTTAACTTTTTTAAATTTTTATTTCAGCCAGAACCACCTACCAGACATGCTGATTCTGAAAATATCTTTAGTTTTTCTCTAGGCTGCGGAGTTCTCTGTCGGCATAGAGCATCGAAAGATCCAGACACTCTATCTACCTCTTCACCTTCCCGACCTCTCTCTTTCTCTCGCGCTCACTCTCTCTCTCTCTCTCATTATTTTCGCGTATAGAAAGACATTAGGAGTCACATTCATTAATACCGACTACATTTGCTCCTTCGGATGGTTCCATTTACTTTCACGGAGTTCCCGCGGGGGTAATATTGGGGGTCTGACATCAAATTTCTGGATGGTATGTTTTCCGGTTCTAATCACGTTTTATTGCAAATGTTTTATATAGCACAACGGTGTACAGAAGCTGTGCATTCCTGAATCCAGAATGTCCGAAGACCATGAGCCCGGTGTCCGGCAGTGAAGCGGAATTTTGTCCAGCTATTTTTCCAACGACTGGCGACTTTACCTCCTGTAGCTCTGGTACGTATCAGATACGTATAGCTATATAGTTGCCTCCGTGTTCTGCGCATGCATTATAGTTAGAGCCATGTATTTACTTGTTATTGCTTTACATACCCATGTACAACGCTGTACCCGACGACTCTATGGCTTAATTAATTTGTTTGTTCGTTCATATTTACGTATTTAATTAATTAAATATTTTCCGTGATGTATCTTAGGTGCATTCCGCCTCCAACGATTTTGCTAATTATTATCAACGATATTAACAAATATTATGGCATTCATACATGCCAAAATTACCGATAAAAAGATTAATAATACGTTCCTGGTATATTAGCCTAAGAAACATGACGTCTTGTGCATATAACGCATGTGCGTACGCGGTTGTTTGCGTAATGACGTAAGTGACAGTAATACGCGAAACCCCTGTAATTTAGCCGCGAAATAGTAACATCTTATAGCGACATAGCAGCACATAGCATGCTGATTGTGGATGACCGGTATAAATAACGCCTCTACAATATATATAGTTGATGTGCGTCACCACACTGACATAATACAGGAGTGAATTATAATAGATCTATTATTATTCAGTCCTGATATAATATATATATATACACACACTCACATATATATATATATATATATATATATATATATATATTAAGAGCTAATAATACTTCGAACATCTTCATGCCTAGGTACAATCAACTTGTGAAATATATATATAAGTACCCACGGGGATTTGGTCATGGGTTTGGGACCTTTGGATATTGCCGACAGCCCGTATCTAAGCAGGTGACCGGCGGTGCTTGTGATCGCCGTCAACAAACCACGGACGCTTATGCAACTGACCAGCGGCTCTCCACTTGTGTAAACACGCGTGGCAATGGCCTGCCCGATTGGCGTGTCGTTGGTCCCGCGCGACCCGTCGTGGGAACTCTCCCGTTCGACACAAGATCCCGTTAGATGAGCGACGAGTGACGCGACGTGTCCAAACAGAGGCCGATGTTTATTTCGACTCCCTGACCGTGACGGATCACTGTGTGTGTGTGTGTGTGTGTGTGTGTGTGTGTGTGTGTGTGTGTGTGTGTGTGCGCGTGCG